TCGGCTTCAGAAGATCAGTAGCGAGAACGAAAGTAGAAGATACGAGGTGGTGTTTTATATAGTCGTAATTACTTTGTCCGAAATAATGAAAGATGATTATGAAAGCCTGGCCGTACTTTCATATTGAATATACTTCAGATGGAGATCAAAGAACTGTATATACCATCTGAAAGATGGACATATATTTCATAGCGTGCAAAAATCTCGGTTGAAATTGCTTGTGCTATCAACCAAATTTTGTCTCGGGAGGTATTTTGGTATTACCATGATTTATTCATTTCCAATATAACTGAGGATATATCTTAATCATGGCCAAGAAGAAGAATAAGAGCCAAAATAACGGCGATTCCCTAGAAATCCAGGTTCCCGCGGCTTCTGCGCCATTACCAGCATCAACTACATCAACAAAGACGAAAACAAAAGATACCAAGCCCACGCAACAACCCTCAACATCTGCACTTATTATTTGTCGCAACAAGTATGTCAATTGTTTACAATATCAATCCCCTATTACACAATTATGCGCAGATGTCATGGCTGTTTTGCAGATGCCATGCCTGAACTTATGAGGCGAAATTGTGCATCATCATTTTTTTCCAGTTTACCTCAATGCGCGTCCCGCATTTATATTTAAACCATCCGACTAACATTTTTCTCGCAGACATTGGCGTTATATCTCTTCTTTCCATGGACCATGGCTACAGTTGCCCCCTGAAGTCCTCGAAGCTCTCGCGAATAATAATTATGCCCTTCCTCGACCCCGACCGATTGACCCCGCGGTCTTTTTCGACATCCTTAAAATCCGACAGCTTGTTGACGATGCCACGAATCTCGCAGTGCGCGCCGCCAGTGGTGTAACATCTTCTTCTCTTTCGAACTCTTTGAATGCTGGAAATGGCTTATTAGGAAATGGGGGCACGGCGCTGGGCCTGGGGATTGGGGGAGGAGGGGGGAATGCGAAATTGAGTAAAGAACGAAAACATCGAATGCGGGAACAGGCTACACAAAAGTTATCCAAGGCATATCATCTGGATGAGATCGCATGTAGTGTCGCGACGATGCAATCTGCTTCTACACTGGAGGATGTGGCCCAACTTGTCCTACAGAGAAATCCCAATGATTCGGATGCCAAATACGTTCACTTTTTTCACGAGAAGATTCCTTCGCGGCAGCTGGCAGAATGTACAAGTTTAACACCATTGGATGAAGTAATAGCAGATAGGCCGAGTGAAGGCGAAATATTAAGGACCCGAGCCGTTACAAAGATATTCAAGGAGGATTTTGTGGGAGCGGCGCAAGATCTTACTTCTGCTTTATCAGTCTGTAGATATTATCAGAACCAGCATAAGGCAGGCCGACAGCAAATACAGCTAGCAAGTGAAGGCGCCGCCGAATCTCAGCGAAACAATGGTGGTAGATGGAGAGACGAGTTTAAGTTAGATGAAGAGGACCACCCGAGTAGTCTTGAGACCCAACTTCTGTTTCACCGTGCCGGTGTTTACTTAACTATTGCATGCCAACACGTTAATGCTGCTCTACCACCTTCGGCCCACCATCACGGTGACTTATTTACATTTGAGGCTGTAGACAAGGCCATGAATAGTCCCTGGCCCACCAATGGAGCGACAAGTAATGAAGACACAAGTAATGGAGAGAAAATTAATGGAAAGACAAACGGCGTGAACGGCACGTCAACTGAAGAGCCCGAGCTATCCGCAGCTGACAAAGAAGCACATCGAAAACGCCTGGAGGCACGGAAAGTTGTGAAGACGAATGCAAAGAGAGCTCTAAGAGATTATGTAGCATATCTGTCACACCTGGACTACACCCCTGGCCTTCCAGCTGAGATCACGGAAGAATTCGTTCGCAAGGTAAATTTAGCTGCAAATGGTTACAAAATTCCTAGACCACCTCAAAGCAAGCATAGTAAGCGGGGCCTTGATTTGGAAAGCAACGCGTCATTGAGTAATGGTCAATTGTCCGATGCACTTGTACCTCACAATGGGCATAACGGAAGAAGCCGTCCTCAATCTAGCACCTCTCGATCACCCGATTTGCCTTCTCTACCTCCGCCCAAAGTATACCAGATATCATCTCTATTCTCTTCTACTCCACCAGCCGATCTCCCCCCTTACCCAGAAACAGCCACAGCTCTAACAACTAAGCAACAACTTCGCGCATCCCAATCCGAGGCAGCCCAGCATATACTCGCCCAGACCGATTGTCATGAAGCCCTCACATATCACCCCCTTCTAACTGATGCCCTTCATTCCCTCTTACTTTGTCATTGTCTCGTGCAGACCTCCGCCCGTGAACTCCAGCGCCACGCCCATATGGTTGCGCGACTTGCTCGTGTTTGCGACGGCTACCCCATTTTCCAAGCCTCAAGATCGCCGTCTCGCGCCGACTGGATTGAAGTGATTCGCCGCAATGACAATTGGATTTCTCTCGCTGCATCATGGGAAACTCTTTGCGCACCCGCGCCATTACCAGGTCAAAGTCCGAGCAATCAACAAAAAGAGACAGCTGCGGAAAAGAAAGAGAGATTAAAGCAGCAAGCTATTATGGAAGCACTTGAAGATGATCGTGTTCATGATGAAGCTAGTTTTCATGCGGCAGTAGCGGCTAGACAGAGAAGACAGGAAGAGGAAGCTAGGAAGGCCGAGGGAAGAGAAATGCCTAAGAGATGGGCGCAGGAAGATGGAAAAGAGTATCCTATCAGTACTGATAGGGCTCAAGCGATTGTTAGATGGACTCGGGAAGCCCCTCCTGGAGGTGATGGTACTGGGCTAAAGAAGAAGAAAAGAGGTGTCAGGGGGAAGGGGAAGAGTAGTGTGAATGGTCTTAATGGGTCAGAAGCCGCTACTGAAAATGCAAAGCTTGATAGGGAGGGAGAAGGCAACGAAGAGTTCGAGAGGATTGAGGAGGAAGTCGACTGATTGCCTATCTCAATTCGCACTGGATACCAATTTGATACACAATTTTGGACATGCGGCAAATCACTATGAAATGAGGCAGTCAAAAATCTACAATTATGTGTATATATATTTGCGATTAGCGTGTCATCTAAGCGAAGTGACAACTCTTACCTTAGCCTACCTATTATGAGTTGAGAATGCATCAATCGAGTCATCAAGCGGTAGGAATAATATTCCAGCTATAAATTCCACACATATCATCCTACCTCAAAAATAATTGCAGGGGTGAATGGAAGAAGCGATCTACATTGCATATCACGGGCGCCCTTCACTCGACATCAATCTTATCCCATTTATCCGTAGAAGCCGATAGTCGTCTTTCCCTGTTGTAGAACCATGGTACCATACGTTTGGATTGACGTCGTATTTATGGCGAAAGTAACGGGGAGCTTGTAGATCACGTCGGTGCCTGGCTAAGTGCGGGGTTTCTTGTCATCTTTATGTTTTTGCATCGGTGTTTATACCCAGATGATATTGTAAGCAAGAGAGGGAGAGGAGTTCTATAAAAGGTGGATGCTCTTTTTATACCTTGGGACAATATATTGGTTTGTATTTGACTGTCTAGTTATATTGAGATCCCGAATCACTGGGAGCACTGAAGCATTGAAGTATTGAAACAAAATTACCACCAAGTTCGAGTAAAATGGCGGGAAAAGTCGACCTCAATGATCCGAGGAAACTGACAGATTTCAAATTATTATCTTTTGATGTATACTCTACTTTGATCGACGAGAAAGGTGCGTTTCTTGCTTCTCTGATTACCTCCTTTTACCATCACAGCATTGAACCGCTTCCCATATGCACCAACTCTCCCCCTTCCCTCTCCAAAACCCACCGAACAACTAACCACCTCCTCTCCAGGCGGACTCTTCACCGATCTCCTACCCCTCCTCTCCCGACTCCCCGAACCCCTCAAATCAAGCTATCTCGATTCCCGCGCCTCCACCCTCCAAGCCTTCCAAAGCCACGAACACCAACTCCAAAAAACCCACCCCACACTCCCGTACCCCTCCATCCTACGTCTCGCCTACCTTTCCTTCGCACAATCTCTCTCCTTCTCTCCTTCCCCCTCCACCTCCACTCTCGAGTCCGAAGCCCAGGAATTCTCACAAAACATCCCAAACTGGCCCGCATTCCCAGATACCGTTTCCGCGCTGCAGAAATTGCACAAGTATTATCGACTCGTCATTTTGTCGAACATTAATGAAGAGTCTATAGAAGGGACGATCAGAAATAATATGGATGTAGGATGGGATGCAGTGTATACGGCTCAGAAAATCGGAAGTTATAAGCCTGATTTGAGGAATTTTGAGTTTTTGATTGAGCATGTTGGAGAGGATTTAGGAGTGAAGAAAGAGGAGATTTTGCACACCGCGCAGAGTGAGTTTCCCCTTCTTATTATATTGGAGGGCGAACTGCATGAGAAGGATTTGGAGAATGTGTAAATGGGATGAACGCTACTGATGATGTTGATCTAGGTTTGCGAGCCGATCATGTGCCTGTGAAGAAAATGAACATGACTGGAGTTTGGATTGATAGGGGAAACGAAGGCCAGGATTATGAAAAGTTGAAGGACGAAGTCGCTTATACATGGAAGTTCAGCACTTTAGGAGAGATGGCTGATGCAGTGGAGGAGGCGTTCGAAGCCCAGGGTAAGGAGGTATAGATACCAACATACAGCAGTAACATGCAAAGCATAACACTTGGGTTTCTGAATGCATTCCATGAATAACTACGTAGTACAATTTGTGACTTTAAGATTTGAATGATAGATATATATATATGTAAAGATCCCATGACACTGTGAAGTCGATCCCTTCTGTAAAACCCAACACTCAACACCTAACACCGAGTAACGATTTCGTAGCTCGTTTGCTCATCTCGATGTGGATATCAAATAAAATGAAAAATCGCAACAAAACATTCAAGCCCCGCGGGGGAGCGTGGCTATGATACAGACATTGTTTTCTACACTGCTACTTATGATCGAAACCTAACCACAAAGGTTATTGATCCACTAGATTATTGTTCATATTTGATAGGGTGCTCATACGGTGGGACGTGATTCATAAAGTTGTTAATCTCCATCAACCCTTCGGTCTCTAAGCTGTGCATCAATTCTGTTTGTTGTTCTTGACTCAGACTACCTGATCTCAGTCCTGCTTCGAAGTTGTCTTGCGAGAACAAATGAGGCGGAAAGTTGTAGTATTCAGGTTGCGAAAAATAAGGCATGTTAGTTACTAACGAATGCTGCATTGGTGGTAGTGGCGCTTGAGGTGGTATTTGATGCTGCTGTGTGTTTGAGACAGGACCCCAAGGCATAGGATAAGATTGCGGTTGCTGTGGTTGTGTAAATTCTGGTGGAAAGTAGCTGAATCGACGATCGGATTGCCCACTAGAGGGACTTACAAAGATTGAGTTGGACCGAAAGGACGGTTGCAGTGGAGGTAAGGGATGGCTGTAGTCATATGGAGGCATTTGCTCTGGCATTTGGTTGAAGACGTATCCGAATTGCGGGGGGATTGATACGGATTGTTATGCTGCGCATTGTGTTGCGAGTGAGGAATTGAGGTTGATGTTGCGCTGGAGTGTTCGGATGCAGACGGCGAGTTTGCGTCGGTCAGCGATGGGGAAGTGGCAGAAAAGGATGAAAGCGAATTATCGCCAAGTTCATAACTTTTGAGACATGCCTTGGTGAGAGTCATGTAAAGTTCTGATGTTGCTTGAGTTCCTGGCCACCGTTCGCGAGAACGTGCAACGATGTCTAAAGCTAAAGAAATATGCTCTTCAAGCTCTTCCTTTGTGTGAAGAGCGCGAACTTCAGAATACGAAATAGACCATAGTACTGTGTTTATGGCCATGAATAGCGATAGGAGAAATGGCCATGTCAAATCTATCATGGCAGTTTTTATTTGATCGCTTTGCGTCCTGATATTACTTGAAGCTGCATCATAACACATTATCGCAGAATGATAGGACGGCTGGGGAACTTGAGGCGAAGGACGAAACAAGAAGATTATCATTGTATTGTACCTCCCGTTGAACCTAAAAAGGTATATTAGCACAACCGTGTTTTGGGGAGATCAATATTCGAATGGGCTAAGCTGGGTTGCATTTAACTATCATTGAGTAGGAAAATATTACCTACCAGGTTTTACTCCATGCCGGCTTTTCAGGAGACGCCTCGAGCCAATCTCCCAGTTTCTGAAGCATCTGGGCATACCAAGGATGCTCCTCATTCTTCGGCTCGTTTCTTTTTCGCAAATAAAGCGTTCTCCGGATCTCTGCTTGCAACAGTCTCATTCGAAAGAAGTGGATGGCTAACCGCTTCTTATCTGACATGGGACCAGGAAGAATACCATCAGCAGTTATGTACTCATCATCTACTGTTTGGAAAAACTGTATGTCCAAATGGTCTCTCCCAATTGCGAAAGCATTCGGTCTACCCATTGACTGCGCTAAACCAAGCTCCATAGATAGAACAATCCAAGCGAGCCTTCGCCGCATATCGAGCTGTAGAGGATCAACTAGACCAATAGATACCCCTTGAGTAATGGTCTTTTCTTCCGCTAGACCTAACTGTTGACACAGTCTCGTAGCAAGCCCAACAATATAGTATATAGCAGTGCGAGTGGGAGTAAGCATAGAATATTGCGCGATTAGAACAAGGCACTGTAGCGTCTTGATGTCTTTCGCTCTTATAACATCTTCAATGTATCCCATAGCAGCCAAATAATAGCTATCAGCAAGGCCTGCATACTGCATGTCCAGCTTTTGCATGCTTATAGCTAGAACCATGCGAAGGACGAAATTCTTATATGGATCGTTATCTCCATCATAAACTTCTTGAAGATTCTTGGCGAACGTAGGCTCGTGTAGAGTAGGGAGCATATACTGGGCTGTGTTGTGGTTAGCGAACATTAGAGTCCAACGTAACAATGCGGATGAGGGTATAAGCCAAAATTGAGCTCACAATCAGCAATATGTGACAAGGCTTCTTCGCCAAAGCAAGGTTAGCAGCTTGAAAAGACACGCATGTTCTTGAAACTTCACTCAGTCCACCTTTATCCTTCAGATTTACCACTGTTATCACGAAAAACACAAATGCTATGAAGCGGTTCACTACTCGGCAAAAACAAAAAGATCGAAAAGAAATTCATTGACTGACCTTTCTGATTAAATACCTCCACCAACTTATCGGTCACTAAGCGACTTGGTAATGTTGGCGCCGGTACAGCAGATATCATAGGATAAGATTTCTTTCTTTCCGAGGCTATATCTGGCGACTGTGCAGGAGTTCGACGTTGCCGCACTTCAGGCACGAGCTCTCGTATACTCCTGGTATCTGTGTATTTTTGGCTTCCTCCATCACTATCCGAGTCATCGCAATGCCACTAGAAGGCCCCAAGTATCGTGGCGTCTCATCATCGTCGTTAAGTCGGATCAAGCCTCCAGGGCGTACAATATCTTCCGAGTCGGGGGGATTCCCCTCTTCTTCGACCAATTGACTAAGTTCCATCTCAAGTGCCCGAACTTTTTCTTGCAATTTTATCACATATGTCCTAGGGATTTTCTTGCCTTTCGTTGTATCGAAGTACTCGCATACTGCCCCCGCACGCTCGCAAGGCAAGCATCGTGGTAAATTGGGATCACATCTTGTTTTCCTCTGAAGAATAACAGAAACATCATCAGTATATCTATACTATTAATTGGTAGAATGGCTAGTGTATTACAAACCTGGCGGCATCTGCAGCAGGCAGTCAAGGTATGTGCGATCCTCGGTGAACTATCCTCGCTTTCATGCGAGCTCTCTCTTGCGTGAAGGGACTTCGCATCGCGAGCTCTATTGACAGAGCCTAAGGCTTGTCTGAATAGGTCTGCTGTGTCCATCGACAAAGTGATAATATTAGATAAGAAGGTCGATTTTGTCGTTGTAGCGCCAAACTTTTGTAAGGCTTATCATCGTTGGGGTGGGTTATCGTTGAGAGATCGTCACCAGAATTAAAGTTGTACTGATCTAGGTGCACTATCCACAAATAAACAATCAAAACTCCAAAAACACCTGACGTTGTTTTAGTCAAAGAACTTTTTATTCGGAGCCATGAGCAGAAGTTGTGGCGAAGAGCAATGGTCGTTATAGAGGCATTTTAAGAAGTGGAAATCTTGACCGTTAGGAATTTCGGATGGATCGCAATATTGTATGGGTAAAATTTGGGAGGGGGCAATTAGGATTAGGGATTAGGAATGAAGGAAGCCATCCGAGTAAAACGACTTTTGAGAAATATCCCCGCGATCAAAATGTGGCCCTGTGGAGCAGGGGAATTAAACCTAGTACGCCCTCGAGGCCCTCTCCTCTGCTTCCTAGGTCAGATTTGTCGATGCCACGGGGCTGCAAGAATATTGATCTATCATACCAGGCGGGCATACAAAGTGTCTCGAGAAACAAAGAATTCCCTGCTTAATGCAGGACACATCTGATAAGTGATGTTGTTCTAGTTCTAGTTGTAATTATACCGGTACACGCAGATATACTTCATAGGGGGTACGAAAGTTCAGTGCGAGAATTGGTCTTGCAGCTCGTATTAATAAGAGCCTGGTCGCCTCATACCCATAGGAGGTGAAGATTGTAGTCAACACACCTATCGAATCAGACACCTCCCTATGTGAACCGCGATGGCCTGAGTGATATATATTGAGATAGTCTAATCGAGATTCTAGTTTCTTTAATGATTAATCCACCACATTGATGTTGAGAAGGAGTAGTCGGTGTTGTGATCTAACGCCATCGCCATATTTTATGGTATGCGAACACGCGTTATCAGAAATTGAAGTGAAACTCAATTGAATGATCTATCCAAATTCTAGCCTTTTGAATGGTTACATACCTTACCGAGGGACATTGAGGGGTGGATGTTAGGATGTGCCACAATCGGACAATTGGATTATCGAAGGATTATTGCTTGCTATTGTAGTATTATACCAAAGCTCGAGACCCCCAAGACTTTCTTCCAAGGTTGATTGGAAAGCGAAAGAGATACCGTAGTATTCCTTCGTTGATAATCTTTTCCTCTGCCGCCCTTCCTGTCCTCCTTCCTTCCTTTCTCTGTCTTATTGTATTGCCATTCGAAACAACAGAAGAGAGCAATCATCATGCTTCGTTGAAACACATGCCCACAACCATGAGGCGTCGGATGGTAAGCTGTATGTATTTACCGGGTCGTGTAGTTATGCACATTGGGATGAACCGACAAGCCACTGGCATCGCGATGACCAGTACTCCCGACTGACAGAGTGAATATACACCTACCGGTAGATATCCAAAGTAAATTCGGGATTTCATAATCATGGAATGTCCTAATCATTAGATTCGAGTATTGAAAGCTTCTGATTGTCGGATTACAATCCGAACTATTGGAAAGTATGATTGGTGACGAATAAAAGAAGTAATAGACGTTGGCTACTTCTGGAACGGTTCGACTGCAGATGTACCTATCTACTTACTGCATTACAGTTAGTTTACTCGTAATGTTTCTCGACCGATTTTATTGGATCACGGGATCAGGACTTACACATCATTCTACACTATGCCGATGCACGATACACGCTCGAGACACGATAAGAGCTGTTCGTGCAGGAATAAGCGGCCGTTTCTTTCTTTACCTCCAAGGTTGTCCTTGTGTTTTTGCGTCTTTGTTTTCTTTCAATTACTTTTCAACTATCCTGCCAATTTTTGCCCTGCAACCTCACCTACTCCGTACACTCTAGTGGGGCGTAGAAATCAAAAGATCATCAATCACCAATTTTGCCTGCTCGTAAGAGTTACCGAGTACCGAAGGAACGGCTGTACTCAAGGATTCTGCAGCAATCGATTATCGAAGGGCACATTTCTGTGGAATATTTGATGCAAGTCTTTCGGACCTTCCGAGCATCATCAAGTCACATTAGACTCGAATCCTCTACCTCTGGGTTCTTGGCTACATATATAAGTTGGATTGTGAAAGAGTAATTTTCAAACGCGCGACGTGCTAATTTGGTGGAGGCAAAAGTCGACTATTTTTCGACGTTCAAAATAATCATTTCTCGGTGTATCATTATACGGGAAGTCGAGTAATTGGGGCAGCCAGCAAGTACTATTCATCTATCGATAAACAAGGGCATGAATCCTTCCTGATTGCAACTTTGCTTGCACCCTTGGACCCCGCTGCGAGACGATCCAGACGGATTAATACTTTTACTTCCGCTGCAATTTTAGACTGCAAATTTGTTGGCCAGAGTTCCGCTTGTTTAGAAGGTGGGTTGAGTAATTCCACTTTCGTCTGTCTTTGTGGATCTCTACACCCATCTCAGTGCGGAATTGTTACTGTTATTCATTCGTGCATGATACAGTCTTGCCCTATGTTATTTGCTCGTGAATTTCTCGATCCGGCTCCATGGCCACTGCGATAGATTCCTATCCGAGTCACGCAATCACATGAGAGAGAAGCTATTGACAGGTAGTACCTTGCATAATATGCAACATGCATGATCTTGCGGAAGGTGTTTAGGAGTATAGGCTCTCTTTCTTTGAACCTGCAGCTTTCGTTTCCAGTCAGGATTTTGAGTTGAATCACGAGGCCTTATATTCAACTGACGTTGTGTAGCCACCTCTTAATGGCAAGAGGGATATGACATATCAATAACAAAAACTCTTCACCTGAAAATTCCGAATATTGAAAGACCTAGTGCTAGAGTAAGAATGCGTCGAGCCGGGCAAAGCGCCGCTGATACCCCGCTCCTACGAGTATCTAGGCCGGTCTCAGCATGTTCAAGATGTCAGTCCATTTACCAATAAGTATAACTCCATTGGCTAATACATACTAGGTCGAGCCGCAAAAATTAAGGTCTGAATCTTCCAACCTTAAGCGTAAATTCACTAACACCTTTTGAAGTGCGATGGGAAATTACCTGCGTGTACTGCGTGCGAGAAATCTGGACGACTGAACGAATGTTCAAGTGCAAATGATCAGTTTGCGAAGGGGAAGGAAAGGAGGTAAGACATCATGGCAATATTATTTTTGCAAAGCTAACCGTCAAAGTTATGTTGCTTCTCTTGAATCACGAGTCGAGAAACTCGAGAAGCGCCTGGCATACGCTCGGTTGAGGAAAGCATCTGTTGCGATGCATGATGTTGATACACCAACGGAATTGCCAGACCGGAAGGACTCTATGGCTACCATTAGAGCCGCGATTCATGGAAAAGCAGCTAGACGGAGGGAGACTGCTGATGTGAATGAATTGGTCTCCGACTTTGGTTTCTTGTGAGACACCAATGCTCCTCATCTTTGGGAGAATTATACTGATAACTGTAGATCTGTCCATGCTACCACGCGCGATTTTGAATCGTCAACAACAAATATGACATTTGCTAGACTCATTCTTTCGGCGGCCAACCATGACGAATTGCCTGAATCTGATTCTCTTCAATTGCCACTAAGATCTGTGGCGACAGCATCGGTCCAATATTATCTCGATAATGTCTTTGCTCTATATCCAATTGTCTCCGAGACAGCTCTATTCAATGCTTTGGATAAAATTTATCAGGGTGGCAGTCAGCCGGTGACTGATTTTGAGCATTGGCTATTCTTCATGGTCTTAGCCATATCATCCACCGCCCAATCCCGACATTATTTAGACTCCAAATACGAGGAAGGTGTTTCTTGGGCTGGCCGTGCTCTTGCTTATGCCGATCATGTTCTCATGCCTGGTCATGTTTCCCAAATACAGGCCTTGGTACTGTTTGTTCAGTATGCAATGCTGGATCCAGCCCACTTTGACAGCTGGCAGTTGATGGGATTTGCTTGTCGAGCAGTTGTCGATTTAGGATTCCATCAGGATCCGCCTAAAGAGCAACAACCAGACAAAAAAGCGTTAGATATGAGGAGGAGGATATTTTATTGCGTCTACTCGCTCGATAGGTAAGCAAAAACGCTTCATTTGAAAAAACCAGTGGATGTTAATGAACCTAGATCTATCAGCATGGTTCATGCAAGAGCATTTTCCTTCACGGACGACTCATCTAGCGTTGAATATCCGTCCGTATCACCCACGTTCCCTCAGATGGGTCAGGCGGATTCAATAGTTGGCCCTCATTCCATGGATTCCGCACATCTGTTGTGGCAATTACGACGTGCTCAATCAAGTTGGTATCAAGAGCTGTTTCAGTCCAGTCGAGAACCATTGCCACAAGGCTCAACATATCTCTGGAAGATGTGTCAAGAAATGCGAGACTGGTCTAACTCCTTTCCTGATTCACTCCCGCTTGCCTTCAAGGATTTCTTCGACTTGGAATTACTCTACAGTTATGTTTATTGTCTTGCTCCATCATGCCGAGTTCACGTAGTATCAGATTACGCAAAGAATTTGATCTTCGACTACGCCATAACATACATGCAGAAGATTTTTCCTATCAGTCAAGATCCTATCAATAAGGCATTCTATACCTATCATGATGCTCTACGAGTTTATTTCATTGGAAGTCAGTTAATAGCGGTGCTGTCAGACAGTCAAGATCAGATATTCAATGGCTCATACAACACTGGTGGAACGAGCTCTCCACCACCGTCTCTTCCGATAGTCACTGGATCTGATCACATCGATCGGAGCCTCAACTGTATAAACCATATCAAGGAAACTTTGAGGACATTCGGTCAAAGATGGGAGGATTCAAAGGCCCTTCTCTCGAGTTTCGACACTCGAGCCGAGCCAATCATCGCAAGCCTGCACGGGAGAAAACAGCAGCAGCAACAATATATCAAAGAAGAGTCTCCCATTGATCACAGCCCGAATTATATACCACCACCTGGCTACGATCATAGGACTTATCAAATGAAACACGAGTGGCCGAATATGAACCCAATATATCCGGACGCCTCAGGGTTTGGCGGAGCCGGTCATGGAGCTGGAGCACCCGGCTTGTAGAACAAATAAAGTACTTGGCCAACCGTCAACTACGGACTGTTTTTTTTTCTTAAATTGGTTAATAAAGTATCAATCTATCGATAAACCATGACATCACCATCGCTTGAACTTCGCAGCTTCCTATAATGGAAAAATCTGATTATTATGGAAAGAGTGACCCCAGTTTCTCAGCTGTTCACTTGAACATGCTGCTCGTGCCTTCTTCGCGTTCCAAATTTCATTATTTATTTCTTAGGGACAATCTACTTGCCTAAATCTTTCTGTTCCTTTCATCTAACTTCTATTCATCCGCAATCTTTCAGACACGGTTGTGTCGTATTGTTGACACACTTTTGGAGACAAATATCGTTCTCAGCATTATAAAAGTATTCTAATTTATCATATCAATTTTACTCTACTAGTATAAGCTAGCCAGTTAGTCCATCCGCCAGGATGCCGCCGTTCTTTTCGTGAGTAAATGTGTTCTTTTAGAAGTATGCCTTCTGACATTTCCAGACCAAGAAAACCGAAGGCACCTAGTCGTATCGATACAGAGCAGCGGGCTACCAACTCGCACTACTATACAGTTTTCAAAGTCGTCCTAAAAGTGACTGTTATTACTCTTGTTATTTGCATTGCTTTCTTACCAACGGTAGCACTTCGTAACAAGCACGGACATCATTCTGACGAGGTTCTTGTTAAAAATCTGGAACATCCTGCAAAATTCGATGTCTCGACTGAACTTGAACGTCAAGTTACTCATGTTCCACTTCGCCTTGTGAAGTCTGCGAAGTTACTTGTTCAACAATTACGCATTCGTGACTCGACATTGGGAAAGTCGACGGATGTTTCTACTAGCGAACAGGTCGAACGTTTTGAGGACGTTACCGATGCTACTACTGATGGTATTCAATACGGTGATTATACACTTGGTGGCTCAAGGCACCAGACCAAGTCCGAAATCGAACGATTACAGCATTGCTCTCTAGAGATCAAAAGCAAGAACAGAGGTAAATTTATTAGACAATTTCCTCTTCCTATTAGAGAGGATGACCGTGTAATCTCAATGCGTTGTTCTTGGCAAGAGCGACGCAAGCAGGGTGGAAGGTGTGTCTCTCATGAGTGGCAACCCACATCTCGCTCCTTGATCGTGGATGGAGATGCTGCTCTTTCCTCAGTTCACAGGCTCATGCCAACTTTTACTCACACGCCTGGGGTCATCAGCACTTGTTCCTACAATAGTGAGGTTAAGAACGAAGAAAAATGCCCCAAAGAATTGGTAAATGGTCTAAAGCCAGCAGAGAACAAACCAATTTCTATTTTGGTCAGGCCACCACCTGTCGTTCCCAATACAAAACAGCAATCACGGGAAGCAGTAATAGATGAGGAGACCAGTGTAAACTACAGACCCTATAAGGCAGATTGGTGTAGACATGGCTGGGTCCGTACCACTGATGGTTGGTGTATTTACCGTGGTAGCTTTGAACACCAGACGATCAGACCGGAGATTTTCAATAATCCACCCGCCTCCAAAAGATCGGTATCTTCAGAAGAACAGCGTCGTGAAGCGATAATAAATGAACCAACTAAACTTGAACCCAGACCTTTTCAGGCTGCATCATGTCCAGAGTTTTGGGTTCATACTAATGACGGTTGGTGTTACTATCGGGGCTCATCGAATAAGCCGTTGGGATTTTGGGGACCCGATACAAAGAAGTCATTATCTTCAGAACAAAAACGTCGGGATGGTGGTATAAGCAATGAGGCCAAAGAAACAAACACTGTCCAGGACGACTCATTCCATTGGATCATAGACGATGACGGTATCTGTATCCCTGAAAGCACAATATGGGCTGATCACGACGATCCGGGATTCTATTCGGGAATTCATTCACCATTTGACACTGGGCTTCATACAGTTGAGTCCATAGAGTCAGACATTGAAGAAGACTGCATGGGTGCAATCTTTCCAGCCCCTTCGTGCCCATCTCCTTGGATGTACGATGATGGCTGGTGCACATGGCTCGGTGATGGTATCGACGATTTCGATTGGAAGAGATCATTCCTAGAGCCTGTTGGGCTGAACTTTCAACGTCGTGATAAAGTTGAAGGCCAGAAGACACAGGTTCCTTCTTCACTGACAAGTAACGGGCTTCTATCTACCATAGAACCTAAACTTTCTGTTGCAACATCGTCATCAAAGCATCCTGCGACTACCACTACTACACATACTTCTAGTTCCAACTCTATCTCTACTGCCATCTCCCCAACTACCACTCTCCCTTCCTCCACAGTTGGAAAGTGTGACCCCCCTTGTATCCGTACTATGGATGGTCGGTGCTTCTTTGATCCCAATTATGAACGCAAGCATCCTCAAGATCCATTGTCACGGCCTCGAAAGACAATCCGGCAACGACGCGGTGGATCTATAAGTGAAGAGCGTGATGTTGCTCCCAGTTGGCGAGCCGATTCATGTGAGCCGCCCTGGGTTCGTACTGACGATGGTTGGTGTATCTATAGACCAGACTACAAGCAAGGAACAAATGCCTCTTTGTCCAACAATACAGAACAATCCAGTACCACGAACCAGTCCAATAAAACACCACAACCAAGTGCCACAGAACAGCCGGATGTAACAAATCAATCAACTGCTACAGCACAACCAACTCCCACGGAGACAGTAACTCGCATCCGCCACTGCATCAGTGACTTACGAGGAAATCTTCAATGCTTTGAAAAGTCGTCTGAACCTTGGCCTAAAACTACACCAGTTTCATCAGCCCGTCATCGTCGAGGTCTCTGGCCTGCCGATTGGGTACCACAGACACCAAGCGACTGTGATCGTTTTCTCGGAAACACATTTAAGCACTACCAGTGTCTTCAATCGGTAAAGCACAAAAACGTCGGATTAAAACTCATCATGGCTTTCCTACTTCTAGCTGGATTTGGTTCCCTTGTATTCCTCATCGTCACTTGTGTTAATCGAGCTGCACGTCCGAAAGCTCAGCCGTTTAGACAAATGAGCGGGATTGTCGATGCAAATGGTATGACTCAACATTCAACACCTTTGTGCAACACCTACCCTTGGAATAACAAAAGAGATACGAATGCAATGGACGGAGATCGATGGGCCAGGGGGCCGCCTGCTTATGATCCCTTGAGACAATTGTCTCCAGAGCATTCAGGTAGTTTGGTTGCCTGTACCAGGGAAAATAATTGCGCAAGTGGTAGTTCGGATTCGAATCAAAGTTGGGTTAGAAAATTGTGTAATAAATGTTTTAAGAGGACCAATTCGTCGGTCTCGGATAAAGAAGCACAGGCTGGAAGTGTGGGGAATGGGTTGAGGAAAAATAATCATAGGATTGATACGCTGAGGTTGCCGAGTGCAAAATTGGCGACGGTTAGGAGGGCAAGTGGATTGCCGAGTGACGAGAATGGAGATGTGTTCGTGGGTGGAAGTACGGAGACGGTGGTTATTGGAAGTGTGGGAAAGGGGTCGGGGAGTGCGGTGGGTATGAGGGGCTCGGATAGTGGTTCTGCTGGGGTTTCGGGTGATGCTGATGTTGATGTTGCTAGTGTAGCTGCGGGTGGCTTGATGAAATTGGGAAATCTTAGTGGTGATACGCTTGTAGAGCCGGAACCGGCGATGTTGGAATGTAGAAATGGAAAGGATGGTAAGGATGTTGGGATAGGGGTGGCTTGAAGACGGGAAATGGTAATGCGAAGAAGGTTGAATTTGGGGGAGGAGAGGAATTCGAAGAGGTGCGTGGTTGGAGGGATGTTGAGAGGGTTGAACCGTTGAAGATTGAGAGGGTTGATAAGGAGAATGTGAATGTAGAAAGGACGGGAGAGGGAATGAGTGATGAGGTGGAGATGATGTTGATGACGGTTGTGGAGGAGAATGATGAGGATGAGAGAAGAGGGGAATTGGAGAGGAGGTCTAGTATTGTGTGTATTAGTGGATGTTAGATGTGGGTGTGGATGTCGAAGTGGGAGGGCGATTGAGTATTCTTTGAAAATAGACGGATGGGAACGGAGATTGTGATATGGGTCATCCGTCATTGGGACTCGGTGGTTAGGAGGTTAGAACTTTCTCCTTTCTTTCATTTCCGCTGGGTTATATCACTATCCATAGAATCCAAAAAAATGAGGAAAAAGTATGAAGAAAGGCCGGAGAATGGCAGAGTATTCGTGTTTGCTTGGCCGGAGCAGGAAGATTGTCGTTTATTCACAGGAGACTGTTATCTGTATTCTCTTCTTTTGTCGTTTCTTTTCGTTTCTTTTCGTTAGTCTTGCCCTGTTTTGCTTTGTTTTCGTATTGGTCATTCGTTTAGATAAATTTATAGGGTTGGCATGCTAGATTCTAGATGCTAAGTACTAGCTAGAGAGTTTGGAATTGAAATGCATTTCTACTCGTTTGCTCGTTTACCGGTTTACATGTTTACATGTTTGAAGAAAAGACTAGTGACATTATGATTGACTGTATCATATATCATAGTGAGGCAAAATAGGAGAGAGAAAGGAGGCCGATGGATGTAAGGAATTTCTTCCTTTAGGACAGAGACAGCAAGGGGGAGATCTTGATGGTTTCGAGTTTCGAGATTTGCAACCGGGATTATAAGTACTGAGAAGGTGATAGATATATTAAGTTGCTAGGTACCTCACCTGGTTTGTATACATAAACATTCACGCTCCTGTTCAACATTATGTAACTAGGGCTCACTTTGGTAAAAGATCCTGGTCTGTTGCGTTCTGTGCAGTTTGCAATATAATCACAGATTATGTATTTCTTCATTTCTTCGTGCATTTCTATCTATTTATCTATCCACCACTTTCTTTTCCGCTCTTCCGTCTCCTCTTCTCTCCTCTCAGATTCACTCTCCTCGCACCTCCATCCCCTTTGTCAACGTAAACAGAAGATGAGATATAACTAAATAACTAAAACAGGGGTATCAAAGAAGAAGAAGAAACCTCTCCAAATCTCCAACTAACTACCCTCCCCTCCCCCCTCCCCCAAAAAGATTATAAGAAGAAGAAAAAAGGATTATGTAAGATATATTACGTTGTGTTGTGGGAGGTAATACCCGACTGAGTAAGTAGTCCCCACCAAACAACAAACAAACACCCTGCCTGACCTTGGAATATGATTCCCGTCCCCCCTTAGAATTGTTGCCGTACCGTCTTAAATTGCGAATATCCCATTTTTCTGTTGTTCCCATTGCCGTTATTGCTCGACCCATTCCCCAGCACCATGTTGATTGATGGTATCCCGTTGTCTCCAAAAGATTAAGAGAAAATATTAACAAATGAAATGAAGTTGTTACTGCTTGCATGGCGACATGCCGAAAAGGCAATGAAGCCTTGACTCGAAACAAAATCAAAAGGCAAGAAAGAGAATGCATGAGAGCGCAGGCTATTAAATAGCCCCTTCTTCACCATCCAAAACCCTCCTCGCAGCATCTAGCCTCCGTCTCCAAATCCTCGAATCATAATTTCCCGCTTCCGTGTCCTGCAATTCTAAAACACATTTTCCCAGGCTAGCGACTAATCGCTCAACGAGAAGTTGGTCATCTTTGGAGAGCATCTGTACTGGCGATGTTCGTGTACGATTGCGGTTGTTTTCAAGGGAATCGGAACGGACTGGGTGGGAATTGGTGCTGGAGGCAGTGCCAGGTGGAGTAAAAACGCTGGGTTGTCCTCTAGGTTTGACAGAGAGAGGGACACTACGTGTTGTACTGGCAGAGGTCGCTGAGTCGAGGGAAAGGTTCCTGGAGTGGACGCCAGGTATCACATCAATATCGTATAATCCGGAGCCTCGAGCTATTCCAATATCGTTGTAGTCATTGATAACGGTATTCCTGGGGGGTAAAGATCCAAATGTAGACCGTTTGGTTGCAAGAGAAGTGGTTGTAGTTGGCTTATAAGGAGAGATTGTGGGTGAGTCCGGGGCGTCAATTTTACGAGTATCGGTAATAGGGATAGTTAAATCGAAAGGATCTTCATCTTCACTATATTCATCATCCTCCACGTTTGACTTGGCAGTTGCAAAAGTGGCCAGAGTAGAAATCGAAGAATTACTGTCAGATCTAAGATGTACCATGGAGGATCGTTGACTGGGGTCATGGCCATTCTCTACAAGTGGCATTGGAACTGAAGGTCCTCGAGTTGTTTCCACAGAATCCTCTGAGCTAATGCTTCCTCGTCTTTCTCGACTCATCGTACCCATTGCGCTGTACAGGAAGAAATGTTCATAATCGAACGCATCCTCGCGATCTTCGTGTGATACCTGTTCGGTTACCGATTCGTGATAAATCGATGCATCACTGTTGTCCTCGTTGTCAAATTCGTCAAATTCTGAACGGTCGTCACTATAACTATCATTGCTTGAAACTTCAGACACCTCTGAGCAAGTATCATAGCCTTCCTCCTCAACTACTTGTGTTTGATTCTGATGAGTAGGGAACCCAGGTGGCTTTACCTGACCCTCATCAACATCTTCATATATACTTGTAGCATCCGATTCGGCATAGGTTGGGGCATGTCTTGCAGATACTTGGGTCGGCTGTGCAGTGTATCCATTCTTCGTAGGGTCGCCATTTTGGATTCCATTCGACTGAACATGATCTACTACTGAATCTGTCTTGGGAACGACATCTTGACCATTAACACCTCCACTATACCACTGTTCTCCTGCCGTAAATGGACTAGGAGTACGTAAACTTTGGAGACTGCGACGCTTCATATTATCATCTCTAGCACGATCTCGCAAAGCGGACAATCTTCCTTTCAAATCACTCATTTGATGTTGTATATCCTGCATTCTTATGCTTGAAGTCGACGAAGAGCGACTTAAAAGTCCTTCTCGGGCAGTCGAATATTCTCTGTCAGTATCAGTCCTGCCATTAGTCCTGCCGTCGAATTCAGGAACGCCATCCTCGACCAGGGGTTCAAGATGCGATGGCTGTGAAGGAGAAATCCTGCTATGTGGTGAAGATTGCCCGGAGCCTCTTGGCCTTCCATGTTCATTGCTCTCCTCCTTGATCATTCCTGGAGAAAGTGGCGATGCTGGCTTTGGTGTATGCGATCCCATAGAACTTCTAGCCCTGTATGTAGCTGCCGCGCTCGAGGCGCGAACTGGGAATGCTGTGGCTCGCGAAGGAGATATGTTATTTTCGCTCCAGACCCTCGAATGACCGGGACTCGAAGCAGTTGAATCTGTATGAAAATTGGAAAATGACCGTTGTCTCGAAGGAATACCGCTGATGCGCCGATCGACTTTTAGGAGAGATGGATTGGTTAAAGGACTACTACTGTAAATCGAAGGCATGGAAATTGATGGCGTTACAATAAGGGAGCTTCGCGCTCGTGTTAAATTCCCTTCCATATTCTAAAGAGGGTGATTGTCAGTGTATGAACTCATTTTGTGACTTGATGAAACTCACGTTGAGTCGACGTTTGGCATTCAAAAGAATTTGTTCCGCCCTCCTACTCAAAGCGGCACTCGAATTCTGATCATCTTCCCCCTCTCCAAAATTCCCCTCCCTGCGCGACAACCTGCGTGTCTCCTGTTCCACAAGTTCCTTGCGATAAGGATCCGTATATGATTCTGCCACACTCTCCTCATCGTCACCCTGAAAATTACTATCATCCACACTGACTGTGTCATCGATATCCCCAAACATGGCCGATTGTGGTTCTGACGTGACGGTACTAGCAGATTCCACAGATATTTTTCTCTCGTGCGTTCCGGTCTTGGTTCCCGACCTCCTCAAATCATGTCCCAATGATGTTGAACTTATGCGATGACCATTTTGAAGCTGCTGCTGCTTGATGAACCTTCGTTCAGCAGGACCCGGTAACTTCTTTCCTGGCGTACTTTCCACCTCTGTGACCTCGCCTATATCTGATAACATTGTTCCATTCCCATAGATAATTGGCGTGGTGGGTGTCCTAGGCGGCGGACCACCTACATAATCTGAATTATTTGATCGCTGCCATGAATCCCCCGACGAAGAAGTAAATTGAAATGATGTATGCCGCGATGAGGGTTCTGAGTCGTAATTCGTTTCATTATGTAGTGGGAGGATCATGTCTGGTTCAGTTAAAGTTGGACTTTGTGAACCAGGTCGAGGTGGATAAACCATGATTGCTGTAGTACTGGAGGATTGACTCTGCATGATGGCCTAGTTCCAGGCACTACCACGAGAGCTGAACAAAGTTTCTTTTTCTTTCCTCCTCTAGAGCTGGAAACTTTGGAACAATGTGTTAGGTACTGAGTCTGACAATTGACCACGCAATGAAATATCTATATTTATTTTGACAGTTTTTGGCGCCAGCAGTTGTTGGTAAGACTATTTGTTCGTCGGCGATTATTGATTCATAGATTGGGCTTCCAGTGTGCTATGAGGGTTGGTTTGGCGGGATTCGGGGATAGGGCCATCCGCTTTCTTTTTGTCTATATCACGGTCGTGCGAGGTTGCAGTCAATTCATATATTCATGGTGAATAGTTACCAAATTTGACAATTGGATATTTTAAGGAGAAGGAGGAGGAGGAGGAGCAGAAGCAGAAGCAGAAGCAGAAGGAAGAAGAATAAAGTGTAGGGGAGAGAGATAGAAAGGTCTATGAAAGCTAGCTACTGGTATCTTCTATCTATGCTCTCTTCATTATCGACCTACCAGCCTACCTAGTCATAATGATTACTTTTAATTCTCCCTTTCAATACTGCACCGTATTGCATGCATTTTGCATCTAGCATCTAGCATTTGTTCGCATATCTCCACGCCACGAGCAAAATAATGTCGGACATAGACGGTACAATCTTCTCATTAGCATTTAATCCTGGCTTGGAACTACCACCTGGATACCTAGATACCCAAAGTATTAAGCTACAGCAGTAGCACATAGTAGCTATTTTGAAGGACAGTTCACGGTTCACAATTTGCACTGAGAACTGAGATTATTTCTCCGTGGGTGGTTTTGTATGGAGATTCATATGACTTTGGGACTTATCACATCGTACTCCGTCTAAATAAGTTCCACAAGTTAATTTCTCATTTGCTCTTGGGAAAGTGACTAGCATATAGTATTATGTATCCCGATGATCTTCGTCGGTAGTGAAAGTGGAGGTGGAATTGGAATTATTGGCATTGGAGCTGGAATTTGAAGGGCGGAGCTTGATCTGATTTTTATATTACCGTCATGTTTATCCTTTTTCATCATTTATTGGTTGCTTTCTTTTCCTTCCCTTGCTTCTGTTCTCTTCTGCTCTTCTGCTCTTTATCTCTTTTCTTCTTCTTCGCAACTGTCCATTCTTGCTGCATACCAGCTAGTCAAGCTGGTATGAATACAGCACCACCTACCTACCCACCCACCCATGAAAATGAAGGAGTTCCGGATGGTACACAGAGAAGTTTCTGTAATTGCAACTGCGCAACTGTGCAACCCTCAATTCAACATCATTTCTTACTCTCAATCCGTCCCACCAAGTGACCGACCACTGTAAGGTACACAACAGATTAAGACCCGGCTTATTATAGGCACAAAGCATCTTCTCTTCCGGGGCCACAAAATAGCCCTTGTCGGTCCAATCCTTGGAAAGCCACGTTGATATACGATACTGATGTTAATCTTTACTCAAGAAGTGCAAGGACAATTGAAATTTGACTCCATAGGAAACATCAAAGCAATCAAAATCTAGAACTTGAGTACACCGTAGAAAAAAAAAGGGAAAAATAGGAACTTGGATCACCATGATCATCAAATTCATAAAATAAGATTAAAATCATCGGATTTCTGCATTGGGCATGCGAAATACCCCGTTGTGTTTTCTCTCGAAAGGGAGTCAATTCCCCATTGCGCTTCTGACAATGTGTCAAAAAGGGTATTCATTACTATGATCATTACCAAACGTATATGCCAGTATGAATCTAAATGCTGATTGATGATAATTAGATTAAATCCCCCTCTCTCCTGACGTTCAAAATTGATTGATAATGAACCCAGAAAGGTAGAGAAAGAGGGTCAACGCCGATTCAACGGTCATAAAAACCTCCGAAATTGGATTCAATCACGCACATCGGATTCAACTCGAAGCGGAAAGTTTTTTTAATTGAGTAATGTATCTCATCCATGGTTCAAATATAATTGCTTGCATGAGACTCTTGAGATAAAGAGTCATATCAATCATTAAATACGATGATTGCGACATGTTTTATAAATCATTTCAACAAGGCTGAATGCCGAAATATGTATTCATCGGGATAAGGAGACAAAACTCCGTATAATAGGTTACGGGGTCAAAAAATGAGTTGTGGGGTGTGAGTCTGATTGCTAGCAAATTACAATCTTTTCTCTCTCAATGATGGAACTGTACAGGATGAACACCGATAGGAATTCGGGTTTGAATGTTGAACTTGCTATGGGCCCTGTATATATTCATCATCTCAGTGGATGAGTCATTATCAGACTATTGGTAGACAGACTACTTGCCCTGAAAGTGGGAGGAGTCATGGAGGTATAAGTATATTCTCCAAATGCTCATTAATCGCGTATCTTCTATGATATACAACACATCACACCCATTACCCTAACAGTATCTGTATATTCGATACCAAATATTCAAAACGAGACTTCATACTCATACTCAAACTCATCCATTCTCCCAAAAACTTCCCATTCCACAAACCTCCCTGCTCTCCACCACCTTCAAAACCCGCTCTCTCCATCATGACCCCCATCCCCATCCCCTCCTCCCCCAGTCCCTCCTTCTCCATCCACCCCTGCACTCCCGCCGACCTTCCTTCCATGCTCACCATCTACGACCTCGCCTTCGCAAGCGACCCCTTCCGTCTCGCCCGCTGGCCCTCATCCCAAGTTCCTCCCTCTGTATTCACCTCCTGGCTCACCAAAGTCTTCACCAAGTATCTGCACACACCTCATACACACACCTGGAAACTTGTGGAAAATTCCACAGGGAACATGGCGGGCTGGACGCATTGGGCTGAACCGCATGTGGTGAGCAGAGAAGAAGAAGAGCGGGAGAAAATAGAAGAGGAAAGGGAAGAGAAGGAGAGGAGGGAAAGAGGAGAGGGAAAGTTCCCGGAAGGTTCGGTGCTGGAGATTTGTGAGGCGAAGGTACGGGGCTGGGATGGACTGAGGGAGAAGTGGTACAAGAGGGAGGAGATGTTTTGTATGTCACGTTTTCCTTTTTACTTTTCTTAATTCTCTTTTCTCCTTTCGGTTCTCTTTAGATTTCTTAAGCGAGTGCTCTCATTCTTGCCATATTCCCTTTTTGAGTTCTTTCGTTTCGGAGGAAATAAATAGACACCTCGTGTCAATCTCATTTTGCACCAGGACTCCTTTCATTTCTATCCTCTTTCCTCCCCCCTCACTATCCTAATCCTCTCCCTCCTTTTCCTCCCCATTATCAACCCCCCAACACCCATCTAACACCTCCCTTCCCAGTAATCTACTTCCTCTCCATCTCTCCCCGCTACCAAAAACTCGGTCTCGGCACCCTCCTCCTCACCGCAATCACAAATCTCGCAGATGCCCAAGGGAAAAGTAGTTATTTGGAAGCGACAGCCGCAGGATATCCGGTGTATGTGCGCGCAGGGTTTAGAGAGGTAGATTGTATGGAGGTAGATTTTGGGGGGTGTGGGGTGGGTAGGAATTGGGCGATGATCAGAGGGGGAGGGGAGGAGTAGGGGAGGAAGAGATTTTATGGGATGGGTACATAGATGGGTACATAGATGGGTACATAGATGGGTACATAAATGGATAAAATATATCGCGTTGCACTTATTATATTAAAATACGTGGAATACATATACAAAATCAAAGATTCATCACACATTCAACTGCTCATACATATTTAGAGGCGACTGACTGACCGATCGACTGACCGACTGACTACATGTATGATTGATAAAAGATAATAAAATTAATAAACCAATATTATCCATTGCACAAGACAAAATCCAATCCTAACCCGATCCATGATATCGCATATCGCATATCCTATTACGATATCGTGAAACAACACAATATTTACTCCAACCAGTATGCCGTAAGTTCTTCATCCAGAAATCTTCATACTTTACCCCAAAACGTCCCCTTTGGATCTGATTTCGGGTCTTGGCTTGGGGTCCTGACGCAAATTCGATAGTCTGCAAAGGTCCTTAAACCTGAACCTGAACCTGAACCAAACATGAAGATGGGTATTTTCCCTCCACAACCAAAATTTCACCACCGCCTGCTCGCAATCACCAAGCCCCCCACACACAATTGTCTACCTACCCGCTACCCCCTCCCCTAATGCAAAACTCTCTCCCACGGTTCCCTCCACGGCACCCCCAACGCCTCAAAATCCCCCTCTCATCCCTCCCCTCCACCAACGTCCCATCCGTAACTTTTTTCCTACTCTCCCATTTTCCCCCCTTCATCCCACCTCTCATAACATCTCTATACAAACCCCGCTGATTTAACCTCATCCCTTTTTTCCCAGCCAGTAAACGCATACTTCGATTGAAGATATCGTCGCCGGTGAAATAGATGAGTGCTGCGCCGATTTCGGACGCAGGAACGAGGAGGAAATCGATGCGGCGCCAGGGGTTGGAAGAGATGTGTTGAGATTGAGGAGAGGAAGAGGGAGTGGGGAGAACACAACATCCATGCCATTTTGAGCCTTCGTTATTATGCGGTACGGCGAGCGCTGCGGTCAGGAAATTAAACTTTGTGAGAGATTTTACGAGGGAAGAGAGGAAGGGAGTTAGTTGTGTTGTTTTGGTGGTGTGGGGTTTGGAGATGATGATATCGATATCACCGGATGTTTTTGCGCCGCGACGATACGAACCGCCGATTGTGATTTTGATTTCGGGATCGAGGGTTTTAGATGTTTCGATGATGAAGTTACCCAGTTCTTCGATTTCATGGCGGGGAATCCGGAGTTGTAGATCATCGTAGTGTTCGATGCCGATTTGTTGACTGGGTGTGAGTTTGATATTGTTTTTGAGATCAGCAAATGAGCGATGGCCTTGAGAAATCCATTTTGATGCGAGCTTGTAGTTTACGCCATAGATACCCATGAAGAGTTTGAGGATTTTATCGTCTGGTTCTGCTTCCGCGTGGTCGAGATGACGGAGATGACCGGTGAGGACTATTTCTTCAATTTTTTTGGCAATGCGTTGGCCAATTTTGGGGATTACGATGGCTTCGGAGAAGGTGCGGATGAGGTTTGGTTGATTTTTGAGTTGGCCGCATGCTTGTATGTAGGAACGAGTACGCCATTGATCGCCGATTCTTTCATAGTAGTCTTTCATTCGTGACAGGATTTGGATTGTGTGATCGTTGGGATTGGGTTCGTCGGAGGCAGTTCCACCGGCCATGCATTGGAAGTTACTTAGACTTCCTTTTCCCGAAGGAGCTGTTCGACGAGACTTGACGGGAGCTTTTAGAGGGGAGCGACGACCATCTTCTGAATCTGATTCATCTATGGTATCGTCAAATTCACTGAAATTTGATGTCAGGTCGTCGTCAGAATTGTCATGATCGAGTACACCTTCGGTCGCCCTGGTTAATTCTATTGCTTCATTTAGTGTGCCAAAGTCTACGTATTGTGGGTTGGGAGAAGATGCTTGACTAAGGTGCTGTGAGATCTCTCCTGTCAAAAGATTTGGATCTGTTTCCGGTAACTGTGGTCCAGAAATTGAGGTTGAGGGGAAAGGAACCGGTCTAACAGTTGGTATTGAGCGTTGACTACGTTCAGGTGTTTCTTTCGGAGGCACATATTCCCACTTATTAGGTTTCCTGTTACGAAGGTCCAATTGGAGAGATTCATCTGACTGCTGTGACGTTGATGGTACCGGCACCTGCTTCTTTTCAATGACAGCATCTGGATTTTTGACCTGATATTTCTTCCCAGTTGGTTCATAGAGAAATTTCTGTTCAATGCAATCTAATAACCATTCTTCATTTACCATACTGGCTCCATCCGGAAGGACTCCGAGGTAGGTCACAACGTCCTTGCGTGTCAAGGAGTTATCAATGATAAGATGTGTGATGGGCTCGTTTATATCTCTAATCCAGGTTGCGCCCCGCTCTCTTGCTTTAATGATGCGAAAACGTCTGACTGGAGATTTATCATCGTTAGGAAGGAAGAAAAAATTAAGACCTTGAAAGACCCGATCCTTTGGGGGAACAAACTTTAGAGGTTTCTCTTTCTTCTTGGTGGGTTTTTTGGTGGCCCCATTTTCCTGGGCATCTCCCTTTCTCTTCTTGCTAAGCATTGATGCGATTCCTGTACTATTGGTAAGAACCAAGGTAGCTGGTGTTGGATTTGATATGCTCCGTTGATCTTTAGTTGGTCTTTTTGCTGAAACATCTGCACTTCTTAAGGACGAAGAAGTTTCCTTTTCAAAAGAACTACCAGTAGAAACTGTAGCACGCGATTCGCTTCGAAGACCAGATCTTTTGCGAGGTGACTCAAACAGTTTCTCCGTCGTACTATCTGCCGTATCCTTAGCCGTACTTACACTCCCTTTTGGCTCCGAACGACTTCGTTGTAATGTTGGAACATTTTTGAGAAGCGGTTTATGTAGCTTTCGAGGTGGTAGTAGATTTGGATCCTTAGGTAACGGAGGTAGCAAACTACGCTTTCTTTGTGATGGAGGATCCAAAATGGGATTATTGCATTTTTTCAAAAATTCTCGCGATTCATTGGGCTCTCCTTCATCTGAATCCGAATTACTTAAAGCATAGAGCTGTGTAAAATAGCTAGCTTTGTCTGCCTATTTTTGATGTCAGATGGGAACATTTGGAATCCTCCGTGGCGTTTTACTTACCATGATGAGTAGCAATATAAACCCATAGACGCTCAAGACGAAAACATGAGACGCTTTATGCTTGTATGTTTTGCAAAAATCGATGACAGAACAATGATGCGTGATGTCTCAGAGTGTGATTCCTTTGTTTTGATATTGCGCCTGGTGATCCCGCCAAGGAAAATGGACGCTAGTACTAGGTTACCGAGATAGCGTCCCTTTCCCTTCAGCAAAACAACATCAGATTCTACTCCCTACGACGACTCCACCCAACCTCAAATATTCAAGAGTGCGAATTATGATTGACATCTAAATATGTGTGGAATGTTTGGACTCTGACACTACCTCAATCCGGCTTCCAATCCGGCTCCCAATCCGGTATTCCACATCTCTAAGATCCCGTGCCGTCCCGTACGCCCCTTTCCTTCAGGATTGCTGACTTTCGAAAGCTCCTATCGATACCTATATTATACTCTCAGCGGCATTCATCCAATCATGAATACTGAAAATACATTTCCCCACTTCCTTGACCTCCCTTTGGAGCTGAGAGTACAGATATGGAAGCTTGCTGCTTTTCACAAACGTATTCTAGAATTGAATTACGATATTGTTGATAAGAAATTTGTCAATTATGGTCCACCTCCAGCCACACTTCATACGAATAGAGAATCTCGTAACATTGCTCTCCAATCTTACAATATGTCATTCGGAACGGATACACAGCCAGCGGATATTTACTTTAATCCTGTTTGCGATACTATATATTTCAGTTCGAGGCAATATGTGGACGAAGTGATGGCGATCGCAAAGCATTTTTCTATCCAATCACCATTATTACCCTACCATCATCAGATTCAATCAATTGCTCTGGCTAAACAATTTTGGGGTGCAGCTGGTTACAGCCTTCCATTTCATCTTTCTCGCGCTCTGGGAAGCATTACTCGTTTCCGTTCGACTTTTCCGCACATGAGAAAAGTCATCCTAGTGAGAGGAATACCAAGCGAAGAAGAAGTTGATTCGTGGGATCGCTATTCAGGCATAACCCTATTGGAGTCAAACATAGACGAGTTCAAAGATGATATTTTGAACCTTGTTATGTACGCATTTGCAGAGGATGCGAAGACGCGACCGGACGAAACAATCGAGGTGAAGGTGATGGAGCACCCTCAAAAAAGATGCGATTCTCATTTCCAAGACCAGGATCATTTGGTTCTCTGGTAGGACATTAATATCTTCGCATTCTAAAGCACCAATAGCAATCATGCGAAAACCACGCAACACAGCACTTATCTGTTTGGTTGATGGCATATTATCTTATTCACCAACTCGAGCTATGCCAGAGTTTTGGCTCATGAATATAAAGTGTGCAGCAGAGCAGGTATTACCGGGTTGTACAGCTCACATGTCAAATAATTTCCCTGTTACATATTTGGTGTTTGGCGTTCGGACGAAACACAGAAATACCCCTTGTTTTTGGTGTTGAGAGTACATAGATCAAAAGTAACCTGCAGCTTGCAGATTCTGGCAGGTTTCCACACATGTAAATACTGACTTTGGATGCTCATGTGGCTTTATCCTTTATTAAATATTCTCAAGGTGGTGATGAGATCTCCACCCCCTCAAAAGACTGGTAAGATGGGTAGGATTTGTGTAGATGTATTGAGACGAGCAGAAATGTAATCGAATCTTTTGAAATTGGGTGTAACACATAACACATAACAAACAACAAACAACCAGAGTCTCAACGATTTGTTAATTTATTTATTTACACATTACGATGACATTACGAGGGAAACTTGGGTAGCAATTTAAAGCAGGCGTAACGCTTAATTAATCGTGTCTAGGTACGTACCTAGGTATGTTTGTCACTCCAATACACTAACCCCGCATTACGATCTATCATCCGGAGTCGAGTCTCCACTATGTATGGATTATTGCAGGGAATGGAGACGAATCAACGGTTCTAGTCCAAAATATACTTCGTACACACATTGCCACTTGCAAGTATGGTGTGGGTGGTATTGGTGGATGTTTCGCCATTTCACATCGTCGAGAGATACTCACGTGAATACACATACATATGCATACATTAGGAGTTTCCACGAGAAGTATCTACTCCGATAACACATTACGTGTAACATGGGAACCTTTACTTGAAGAAGAAGCCTGTACCAACGGTCAGTTTCGGTTGGCAATTTGAAAAGGACATGAGTATGCATTAGTGCGCTCGGTCGAAAGCAATTTAAGAAGGATACTGGGGTAATATACTGGGGTAAAAGACTTCGCTTCCAGATCCCATGCATGTATCCCGTGGACTGAGAAAATGCCTCCTTTGGTGGAGTTGCAGGTTTGAAATCTCGGTAGGGTATTTCGAACCAGAGGATTGGGATTATTCCTGTCTTCTAGGTGGAAATACAAATAAAAGCCACCACTTGTTTTGTCGATTTGCTTTGATTCGCGGATTTTCTTAATATGGGATTGTCCGCTTGTAATGATCCACCACAGAAGCTTTTTCTGGAGTATGGGGGATTGTAACTGTAATCAGCTAATGTTGGAAAGCTCCAGATCCATTGGTTCGAGATTGTGCCCTAGCTTGGGGCTATTCTTTCCCCGTTTGTTCGTTTGCCATTTCGAGTTTCGTTGGCGTAAGCTTCCTGGTTATAAGCTTCAAGGGGGAGCTAAAATCGCTGAGAATGGGGTGCGGGAAACGGCCTTGTAGGTTATCATCCTTGTCGCATCGAGACCATGTGCAGGCACAATGTACATACGACCGTAAACTGCTCAACATGAGATGCTCACGCAATGAAGTGTGGGTGGAGCCTTGGGGAAGTTCTAGCGGTCGATCTTATCTCCTCCATTTTTAATTGACACTCTTTCCACTTCTTCGTTGTAGCATTTCTCTTGTATCAACATCGATATCGATATTGAGATCTACCTTTCATTTTATTACTCATAAGGCTGGGTCCTAGTTGACCAAAATGGGGATCTTCAATACAGATAAGACGAGAGTGTACAACTGGTAAGGTTTACAGTAATTTTTTGACAATAATAGTGACCTAACGCTACATAGGTATATCTCGCTCGTCGCAGCATCATGTATGGTGCTATATGGATATGATGCCTCTGTATACAATTCCGTACAAGGCTCAAAGAACTGGGTAGCTTACTTCAACGACCCGGTATGTTTCCCTGTCAAACAATCAGCATTTGATCCAGTCTAACAAACGATCGAAGGATACCGAAAAGATTGGTGCTGTCAATACCGCCTATACTGTTGGTGCCATTATCGCTGGATTCTTTCTTGGTGGTCCAGTAGCGGATTGGCTTGGTAGAAGATGGGGTATGGCAATTGGTTGCTTCGTGACCATTGTCGCTACTTTCATTCAAACATTTTCTCCTCGAGGCCAACTTGGATGTTTTATCGCTGGTCGTGTGCTTATTGGGCTGGGCCAAGGTGTTGCATTGAGTATGTTCGTTGAATTCTTCTGTTCAAGTCTCTGCTAATCAGATATACAGCGGCGGGACCTGTGTATATTGGTGAACTTGCACCACCTGAGATTAGAGGAAAGATCATGGCCTTTGTAAGTTTCACGGTCACCAAATTTTGCGGAACTCAGAATTGCATGCTGACATAGACTTATTACAGTGGCAATTGTTCTATTCAGTCGGTTCATTCATTGCCTATTGGATTAACTTCGCCTGTCAAAAACATGTTAAGACGCTTGGAGAATGGGGTAAGATTCTCACTATTTACTTTCACGTTTCTTACTTTTCAGATGTGTTTAGCCATCTTTTGTCTATCCCTTCACTTCAAACCCACATCAGCTCATCTCCACCGCAAACTAACACTCCCACCCCACAGACTGGAAAATGGTCGTCATCTTCCAAATGCTCGTCCCCATCATAATCCTCACCCTCCTCCCCTTCATCCCCGAAAGTCCCCGTTGGTACATCCAACACGGCGGACGTGTTGACGATGCCCGCGCCGCCCTCCGTCGCGTGCGTGCCACAGAACAAGACGTCGAAGACGAAATCCTCGTTATCCGCGAGGCTCTCGAGTTCGAAAAAGAAGCCATTTCCTCCTCCTATTCTGCCCTCTGGAAAGATCGCTCGGTCCGAAAACGTTTGATCCTAGCTTTCATTTTGAATATCGGTCAACAACTTACCGGACAAGGAACCCTGAATACATACAGTACTGCGATTTACAAGAAGGTTTTCCCTGATGCTAGCACGATTGCGTTGATTAATGCGTTGAATGCTACTTTTGGAATCATCTTCACCCTGAATGCTGTGTGGACTGTTGATCGCTTTGGACGCAAATTCCTTCTTATTGTGGGTGCGATCGGTATGTCGATTTGTATGTTGATCGTTTCGCTTGTGGGTACCCTCACCCCGAATACTGGCGCCAATGGAGATTCAAAGTCACATCCTGTTGCCATCTCGATTGTGTTCCTGCTGTTCCTATTCATCTTGTTCTATAAACCCAGTTGGGGTGCTACGGTGTGGATTTGGACCGCAGAAGTTTTCAGTATGAATGTTAGAGCCCAGGCGGTGGGTATGTCGAGTCAGATGCAGAAGTAAGCTATGAGTTCTCTTATCCTGTCTACTCTTAAGATAATCAAATGGAATACTAACGTTACACAGCGTGGCAAACTCCATCTTCCAACAATTCTTCCCAACCTTCTTGAAGAACCAAGGCTTGTACGTTTCCCCCCCTCGTCTCCTTCCCCTAAATAACTAACCCCTCCCCCACAGTAAAACATTCTACTTCTTCTTCAGCATCAACATCTTCCTCGCGCTGTACGTCTGGTTCCTGGTCCCCGAAACGAAAAAAGTATCGCTTGAAGAAATCGACGTGCTATTTGGTGGTTCCAACCATGTCGAGAAAGGTGGCAATCTGCTGCACGTACATGATGCGCATCATGCTTCGCTGGGCGATAACGTGGTGACGGGAGGCGCGGTGGAGATGGGAGGTGTGAGCAAGGGGACAGAGGTGGGAGAGATAAAGGAAGAGGAGATTAGATGGGCGAGATAGGGTTGGTTGGTTAAAGAGGTGGTATGGAGTTGTATGTAGGATGAAAGTTGTAAGATGAGTGAATATAGGGGAGATGGATGAAAAGTTAGGATCTGGGATCTGAGATTTTGATGATTAAAGATGAGGTTTGGTTTTAGGGGTTTAGCTATGTTTGGTTTGGTATGGGATAGGATGGGATACTCAATGGCTGGCTATCGCTCAGACCAAGAAGAAACTGTTGTTTACTTTCGTTCTCTGTACCCATGTCGTCTCGCAATAATTATGGGTGCAAATAGGGTTAATTTATGATAAATATCATTATTCAATTCAAGTCTCCTTTTTACAATCTAAATACATTATCTCCAATCAATATGAATAAACCTTTTTAAGATCTTTGAGGATCCAACTGTGAAGTTATTTATTCCTTTGGTTCAGGTTTGACGACGATCGTCGGTAAATCCTTGATATCTACATGCTCCTGCGTTCCTAGATCTACCACCCTCACAGCTTCTACTCCCACAATCCCTTCCTTTAACGCCATGAATTTGAGTTCAACTTCGTAACATGCTGATGGTGCAAGTGGCCCTACACGAGTATCTGTACTTAGACAGACTATCTCGCTGGATTCCATTGCCGAATTTCGCTGTATGGCATATATTATATTTTCGTCGAGAACAGCATCCGCAACTTTTGGATCTCGACGTGCGCTGCCATGACCAGCCGAAGGAGGGCGTGTTATACGAGCTTCAGTTCGACGTCTTTTTGGTAATACAAGAAGAGCAAGCTTCCGAGGTCTATCAGATCGATTCACTATGAAGATTGACCAGATGAAAGGGTGACCTGGGTAGATAGGAGATGTAGATGGAGAGGAAAATGTCATGGTAACGCCAAAATCTGGGACAGAATTTTGATGACGATGATGTGGGCGTGTTGGAGTGGTCGCTTCGATTGTTGGAAGAGCATCGGGATGATTAATTGCTAGAGAGGAAATCGTTGGAATGCTGTCAAACGTTGCGCCGATAGACAGCGCAGAGGGTCTGTGAGGACGTTGAATAGGTTTCGTAGGTTGACCAAAGCCATTATTAATAGGAGGTGTAAAGTCCAGGGATGTAGACCATTGCATCACAATCTGTGGCTTACAGACAGTAGTGACATTGGCATTGGCGGTGATAGATATATCGATGGCTCGAATTTGAGACTTATTAGTAACATCAATGTCATCAGGCAATATCCGATAAAGGAAGCTAATATCGTCTTGAGGTCGACATGTAATTGGAAGCGCTAGCCCAGGGATTTGACTTAAATCTTGTACCTGTCCGCCGTGCACCTTCAACTGTATATCTGTGAGTATAATGTCACAATTCACAAACGAAGTAATATCAATATCCAGCGAAGCTATGACTGAAGTATTGTTCGGCGTACTACTTGGTCTGGAATATCGCACACGGGCATTTATAGCTGGATATACTTTAATAGATTGCCGTGAGATGTTCTTGAAAGGTCGAGCTAAGTCGCGAGCGATTTGCGCTGCCGGTGCAACTCTTGCGACTCGCAATGCAGATAGTCGTGGCCTGATACCATTTAGATATGCATCACCACTGAAAGCCTCAAGAAGATTCAAGCCCGATGGGATCTGACTTGGGAGATATTCCTGTCGCAATGCATCCGTGTCGACTTGTTCCGCTGCTTTGAGATTCGCCGTGGCCGCGAAGACAATGGAGGGATTCTGCAAGCGTAGTCGCGGTCTTGCAAGGAATGCAGATAATTTCCATATCAAAAGTATATGACCGTCATTATTGGCGCTATCAGTCTCGTCTGAGCCTTGCACAACTATCAATGGCTCATCGTTTTCTTGCACGGAGCCCTTGTAAATCAGTTCACGCCCCGCCGAGCTATCTTGATGCTCGCCATTCGCATTGATAACCTGGGCCTCCACGTTGATTATAAGTCTGTTAAGATAGGATCGAAGAGATCGTTCGTCAAAGTAGGGAGTTTGTAGGACGACATAAATATTGACCGTTTCATCTAACATCTACGAATGAGTAAGATAGAGAGCTTTTCCAGTAACTCGGGGGACTAACCAAAAAAAAGAGCTTGCCTTTGAGGAATGGCAGCTAATGGAGAACCATTGCCCTCATCAAGCTTTTCTACACTCCCGCTCAAAGCCTCCTCTATATTCAAATCGCTGGCCTGTGGAACGATTGTGTCCAAGATTGAGCTCTCAGTAAACTCCAAGCTGCTCCTAGGAATTGGCTCTTCTTGCGATTCTTCCATCATTTTGATAAGCCTTTAAAACAAAAATGAATACAATAAACTGTGACTTGTTATATATTTGTAAATCGCATAATGTGTTAAGAAAACGAGTATGTGTTATGACGTTGGAAACTCACATGAAAGGAGTTCTGGATGGTGGTAGTGGTTAGCTTCCGTGCTGAAAACGCGCTAAATAGCGGCCGAGCAAAACCGCGAACCTTTTTTTGGAAACCGCAAATGCGATCTTGGTCTGCGCTTTTAGTAACAACTCAACCAAAAATCCGTTTTCTGCTTTCAGTTTCATCAACATGAACGGAATGAATGGTCATGCAGCTGTTCCTGCTCTCTGGCAGGAAGCGCGAAATGCGGATGGACGAGTTTATTATTATAATACTATTACGAAGGCGACGCAATGGACGAAGCCAGAAGATTTGATGACACCTGCAGAGGTACGGTTCTTTTCTCCCTAGATCTATTTGTCATATAGCTTTTATTGACAAGTTGTTTAGCGTGCCCTGTTGAATCAGCCATGGAAAGAGTATACAGCGGAAGGGGGGAGAAAGTATTGGTATAACACTGAGACGAAGGAGAGCTCATGGGAAATGCCAGATGTATACAAGGAAGCTATGTCAAAAGAGGCTGCATCGCCTGTAGTCGCTGCTGCACCGTAGGTATTTTCCGAGAAACCGAAAGAATGTGATTCTAACTTTGATTTATTATTAGAGTGCCAACCTTCGTCGCAGGAGGTGGATTCTCGTCCTCTCAGTATGACCAACCACGAGACAGAGAACCCTTAGGAGAAGCTCGTCAAATTGCATACGGAAATGATGTTAATGGAAGCCGTGCTCAAGCTTTTGTGCCTGCTAATAATGATCCCGATTATTCCACGTTTGAAGAAGCAGAAGCAGCTTTCCTCAAGCTTTTGAAACGGCACAATGTTAAGCCTGATCTTACATGGGAAGAAGTTATGCGATCAATTATCAAGGATCCTCAATACCGAGCGCTCAAAGACCCCAAAGACCGAAAGGCCGCCTTTGAGAAGTATGCCATTGAGGTTCGCCTACAAGAGAAGGACCGTGCAAAGGAGAGACTTGAGAAACTCAGATCTGATTTTGCTACTATGCTGAGAAGCCATCCAGAGATTAAACACTACACTAGATGGAAGACAGCTCGACCAATTATTGAAGGAGAGACGATTTTCCGCTCCTCGAATGACGATGATGAAAGACGTCAGCTATTTCAAGATTATATCATGGAACTCAAGAGGGCGAATACGGAGAAAGAGGTTGCAACGAAAAAAGCTGCGATGGACGATCTTGTTGATCTTTTGAAAGGATTGAATCTCGAACCATATACAAGATGGTCAGAAGCACAAGGTATCATCCAGTCAAATCCACGTTTCCAAGGTGATGAGAAATTCAAGGCACTCAGTAAATCGGACATGTTGACTGCTTTCGAAAATCATATCAAATCTCTTGAGAAGACATTCAATGATGTTAAACAGCAGCAGAAGACCCAAAAGCTAAGGAGAGAGCGTCAGAATCGAGACCGGTTTGTAGGCCTCTTGCGAGACCTCAAAGCTGGGAACAAAATAAAGGCAGGAACAAAGTGGAGCCAAATTCATCCTTTAATTGAAAACGATGACAGGTACGTCGATATGTTGGGTCAATCGGGATCTTCTCCTCTGGATCTGTTCTGGGATGTAGTCGAGGAGGAGGAACGCGCACTGCGCAGTACACGAAATGATGTTTTGGATGTTCTTGATGTAAGTTCAATAGATTCTTAATATGATGAAGCTCAAACTGACCAACTTACAGGATAAACGGTTTGAACTCCAGCAAAAGACTCCGTTTGAAGAGTTCCTAGCACTGATGCAGAGTGATCGACGGACTGCTAACATTGATCGAGACTCATTGTTGCTAATATTTGATCGAGTCAGTACCCCTTTGTTGCAACAAATTTGCCCTCGGCTGACTGTTGAAATAGTTACGTGAAAAGATTTCTCGAAGAAATGAGGATGACAAGCATCACGCAGAACGCCATCAACGCCGAGCTGTGGATAACTTGAGATCGTACATTAAGCATCTCGAACCTCCTATTCGCGTTGGCGATGATTACGAACGGGTTCGCGCTCGTTTTGAAGGGTCCGAAGAATATCTTGCCGTAACAACAGATGAACTCCGTCGCTCAGCTTTTGACAAGGTAATTCGCCGGCTCAAAGAGAAAGAGGAAGACTCCGAAAAGGATCGAGCCAAGCGTCGTGATCGAGCCTCAGTTGATCGACCGACACACAAAATACGCGACCGAGAGCGAGAACATCGTTCCTCCGGGTCCACCCGCTCTAGGCGTAGCCGCTCCCCAGAACCTGATGCGTATGAAGCAGACAGGCGAAAAGCTATAGCAGACCGCGAAAAGAACTACCGAAAGGGTGGCATGGCTGATACCTTACTTTCTCCAAATCGTCGTGATAGGCGTGATCCTGATGCCCATGATCGTGAACGCGACCGGGATAGATTGATGCGGGATCGTGATCTTGACAAACCTCGTAGTAGACGAGATGATTCAATGAGTCATTACGAGCGAGAAAGGAGAGACCGTGAGGATGAGAGAGAGAAACTCTACAGACGACGCGGGGATCCTCGAGGTAGCATCGATGAGTTGCCTTATGGGGACGAAAGATCCAGTGCACCAAGAAAGAGAAGAGAAAGCGAAACTGAAACTCGCAGGGATAGTAAGGTTCGTTACAATTTATTATTATTATTCTATTCCTTTCCCCCTCGAAATGAATATTCATACTTTCGAAACTAACACGAATGCAAAAACAGAGAACCAGAAGAGAAAACACCCCTAAACAACGTGAGCGCTCCCCAGTTCCCCCACGTGAACGGCGTCACAGGACTAGGACACCACCCGCTGCAAAAACCCCCGCCAAAGAAGAGCCTGCTGTTCATTCAGGTAGCGAAGAAGGCGAGATCGAGGAAGAATAGAGGAATAGAGGAATAGATTGGCTCTCTTTTTATGGTCAAGGTCAAGCTTACCATGCACCGATCAAATTGAAGAAAATTCGCCCCATCTGTACGTATCCGCACGCACCGTACTTCTATTTTTGGCTTGATGATATCGGCAAGCAGGCAGTTCACGATCGCGTGGTATTCAGGCAACGTTAGGCATTGTTCCAATATGAGCAACGGGGATGAGAGATGAAAGGGGGGCGGAGTAAAGAGAGATGGGGAGAGCATGAAAAATTCGGTGTGTATTGTTTTCTTCTATTTATTGATTCTTCGCATTCAATATCCTCTCCACGAATCACATTCAGAAATCATCAAGTTTGTAAAGTAATAAGTTTTTATCATTGCCATGTACTAAGAATTGAATTGCAATTCTATTGCATTGTACCTCTTCGCCTTGAAAATTGCCACTCGTGAAATGTTTTCACCCATCTTGACGACATGCCATCCAACGTCTTCCAATGCCCCTCAATCTACTTCTGATAAATCAGCCTATGCATGATTTAATCACCAAATCTTGGCGGTCATCAAAGTAGGACCAGGCATCGAGAGGATAGACTGCCGCCACCCTAGTTAGCCGCCTGGATCATCATCCTGGTCGGATGAGCCTTCGTCCATTACCATGCCTTGCCCATCACTTTTCCTAGTCTCCCGAAATGCCGACCCCGTAACGCCATGCAATGCCTTTTCTGGAGGGGGAAATGAATCTTTCTCAAAAACCTCTTCAACTAGTAGCAGCTTTGTCATCCTCATCCAAGAAGAACTAGAAAATGTTAGTAGTCATGCACTTGAGCTAATAGAACTTGGTACTTACGTAGTTGCCGTTCAACTTCTGCTCCTGGTCCAATTGGGAGTTAAGTTTGTTGATACGAGGTCTGTAGTTAGATGGATCACGACGGAAAGTGACGTCGAGGTTCTTCAAGAATTTGTTGCAACCACTGAGTAACGACTCGGGGGTATTGGCGCGAGCATCGATACCAGGCTGGCCGTCAAAGACAATAACACGATCCGCGAGGTAAGTCGCCATAATGAAATCGTGCTCGACAATGAAAGCGGTCTTCTTTGAGTGCATGATGAATCTCTTAATGACACGGGCAGCAATGATACGCTGTTCGGAATCGAGGTAGGCAGAGGGTTCATCAATAAGGTATATGTCTGCGGGGATACCAAGAGCAAGGACGATAGCCACACGTTGCAATTCTCCTCCGGACAAAGTCTTCACTTCTTGATCGATAAATTCTTCGAGCTTGAGAGGCTTGACGACGTCGGTCTGGAATTGAGGCAGAAGGAAGGCAGTCTTGATCTTTTTGAAGAAGAGTTGTCTGACTGTTCCCTCGAACTTTGGCGTGATCTTTTGAGGCTTCATGCTGACCTTCATACCTGGAACTTTTTGATTGCCGTCGGGTTGAGTGGCACCGGCAAGCATCTTACAAAAAGTAGTCTTACCAGTACCGTTCTCTCCCATCATGACGACAATCTCGGAATCGGTGAAATCTCCTGACTCAATAGACAAGTGGAAGTTACCAAGAGTTTTTTCCATGGATGGATATTGGAATGCTCGAGATCTGTCTGCCATGAATTCATCGGCAGCCTCGGCAATCTTGAAAGTTAAAGACTCTTCTCGGAATCGCAAGTTCTCAGTTGGGATGTTACCATCTAAGAAGATATTGATACCTTCTCTGACAGAGGCTGGGAGAGTGACAACACCATAAACAGCGGGTTTTCCGTACAGAACGCAGATGAAGTCCGACAAGTAATCCAACACCGAAAGATCGTGCTCAACGCAAATAACGTAATCATCAGGTCTCAACAATGATCGAATGATTTGAGCAGCGCTAAGACGTTGCTTTACATCTAGGTACGAGGATGGCTCATCAAACATGTAGCTACATCTCAGTCAGTAAGAACTTGTGGGGGGTTTGTCAAGACCACGTACACATCGGCCTGCTGCACACAAACAGTTGCAATGGCGAATCTTTGTAGTTCTCCACCAGATAAAAGATTGACATCTCGATCCATAATATGATTCAACTCTGGAACAAAGTCAGTACGATAGTGCCAAGCTTAAATGATTGATAACAAAGCATACCCAAAATGTCGCAGACCTCCTTGAAATTATCCATTGTTGCAACACCTTCGATCAAACCTCGAACGGTCTTATCTGGCCCCTTGATGGCTCTTGGAATTCTGTCAACATATTGGGGCTTCACAATTGCTTTCAGATCATCTTCCAAAATCTTTGTGAAATAGTCTGTATTGCTGTAAGCGCATGTCGAAAATTGTTAAAGATTTGAGCAACAAACTTTGTAATTCAGAGCCACGGAAGTATTTGATAACATCTTGCCAGTCGGGTGGGTTATCATATCTACCCAAATTTGGCTTCAACTTTCCACTGAGAATCTTGAGTGCTGTACTCTTTCCAATACCGTTGGAACCAACCAATCCCAAAACTTGTCCTGGACGTGGTGTAGGCAATCGATGCAACTTGAAACTGTTGGCGGAGTATCGATGAGTTACGTGAGACTCCAGATTTGTTGGCAGATTGATGATGTTGATAGCACCGAATGGGCACTTCTTAGGGCAGATACCACAACCAATGCAAAGATTCTCGGAGATGAAGGCGATTTTCGACTCGGGGGTAACTTCGATACAGAGACGACCACTTCGCACGACTGGGCAGGACTTTTTACATTCTTGTCTACATTTCTGTAAATATATAGTTAGCAACTTGCAGAAAGTGCTGAGAAGAGTAGACGCGTAGATTTACCTTTGGCTTGCACTGTTCAAATGGTGGATAATGTCAGTGATATTCATATGGCGGGGTATGTGGTGGGGCAAGGCTCAACGCAAAATTTGTCGCACCTTGTCAGTACTGATGATAGCAATACTAGAGGTAGAGGAGTCAGCAAACTGCTCAAGTATAGATGTTGAATATCGCAGAGATGCGAGCTATATTGCTCAGGCGACATTGTAAGTAGGATTTCGTACCGGGTAAGTTTGTCAGACATCTTGGATGCTGTTGCTCTCACAGAGCACTAAAATTTGTGGGAAAAAAAGAAAAACAAGAAAACTCTCTGGGAGACCCGGAAATGTATTGATGAACTTGTGCTCTTTTGTCTTCCAAGGTTGTCGTGCGTGTAGCGGACTGAAATGCTGTAGAGACCTTGCGATGAATATGAGGTTGGTTGGTCTTGATGTGATCATAAAAGATTAAAAAGTCTTTAGTGCTCAAATTGAAATTCGATTATTACACAATTGATATTATTGGCTGTAGGAGCTTAAACCTTAGTGTGGTTTCATGGTAGAATACCTTTGGCCGGAACCACTATTCTCCTTTGTACCCACTGGAAACAATAGGACTTGCACTTTAGATGAATACGAAGTGTTGTCCAGAGTAGATCAGAGTAGATCAGAGTAAATCACATCAAGCCGGCAATATAATGACAGATGTTCCAAAATATATGTTGGATTGACCAGTCTGGATTCTTTGTGGAAAGTCGGGGTAGAACGATTCGTTTTCTTTCCATTTATGAATGATACATATTACAAGCAACTAGATATTGTCGGCCTCATACTAGAGTCGATGCCTTTCATTATGCTGGATACTATAAATGAGCAACACACCATTCAGTTGATCTCAATCCCTACATATGAGCTCAAAGTCATATATCAATTCGATCTGTCAATTTATTCCAGGAGAACTTGGACACCTGTATTCATTTTCCTTTCCCCTATCGCTGATATCAATCTTGAAGGCTTCGATACCCTCTGGTTTCTATCAAATCCATTCCATAGATACCTATGCAGAGACAAAACACAACATCTACATGGCTAGCATGTTCCATTCTTGCTACAAGAAATGACTATGAACATTGACATCAAAATTATATGGAGTTTGTTAAAAGTAGATATCAAATCACCCAACCAATGTATTCTTTTAGATGTTCACCTATATATTAGTTCCTCTCTTAACTATCAATACTGCAAGTTTTCAAAATGTTTGCTCATTGCTAAAGGGTACTGTTATACTGCTGTATTCACAAGAATACAATCTTTAGTTTTGATGGTTTTTATCGTTGTAGGGTTTGTCCGGCTAAAGTACAGTCATATCACGTGAAACACTAAATCATCCTAGCTTCTGCTCGGCTAAGTACGGTAGACCTGTGGTTCTATTCTGACCAACTGCTCATGTCAATCATTATGGGAAATTCATCACTGATTGTGTAGACCTTCAGATCCGCTCTCCAATTTTAACGTCCGAAGTACCCAACATCACTACCATCTACCTTCATATTCTTCAAATTAAAGATTGACTCTCAATTATTTTGATATCAGGGGGGCCTTATTAAATATGGCTTGTAAGTTTTCCAAATTTCCCACAAATTCCACGCAAAACTATGGTATACCTATTCCCATCATCATAATGCATCTGCCATCCTCGAATGCCATCATTTCCATCTTCCTATCTCCTCATGCAGTCTTCAAACTATATAGAGTCCCCTGATCTTCACTCATATCACTCTCCCGTTGCTGTTTTCTTGCCCTTATCATGCTCTTTGGCACACAAAGCTCCTGCGAGCTGGCCTCAATCAAATTGTATCATTTCCATCGACTTTCATCGCGAGATTGCTATCAAGCACACGAGAATGCGCCGATGACATTCAGCATGTCGTTGTTGCTGGGCTCATTGCGATCTTGGTGTATATAGGATCGCGGCTTCTTTCCCTTCACGGGCGTGCAATTGTCAGAGTTTTCACCACACCCATTCATGGGGTCATACTGTTCATAATAGCTAATATCGTCGTCGCAGCCCCGCAGGATACAATCGAAGTCATGAACTCGACATCCCCGTTACATATGTCCAATGGACACGATGAATCATTCGCAAGGTCCTCGCCATCAAATGATGACGCACCAGGCGAAAGCGAGTCAGAACTATCCGATGTTGGCAACCCTACCGTCGATGAACCCTCACCGGC